CACGAGTGGTGATATAACTACTAAAATCAAGTAGTCACAATTTCAAATTAATGACAAACAGCTCACCCAGGTATTGGTCCCTTTCTGTGCTAGCACAAGCAACACAAAAAGTCTATTATAGTCCAACACAGACTTCAGTCTCAGCAGAGCCAATAGACTACAAAAGAATTAAATGCAGAAGGCAGCCGCTAGAAGTGCCAACTCAAACAGCCCTGCACAAGAAATGCAATTTATCGTCGATTTAAAGCAGTAGTTACAACAGATCAGTAGCTGCACACGCAATTGATCACATACAACACTACCTGATATATGATAATTATGAGGTAGTAAGCTATAGCGGATTTGAAAAAAAAAAAAAAAAAAGGCCGATATTAGTCCTGTATCATTTCAGTTCTAGAAGTGCTTGAAGCACCCATTCAAACTTTCTAACCCCCCCCCCCCCCCCACCCCCCCCCCCCCCCCCCCCCCCCCAGCTAAGAAAGTCTCACCCGCAGGGTGAAGACCATTGTGTTAAGGGGAAAGACGTTTAATTAATCCATACAGATCAGTTGTGATTTGTCGTTCTGTATTTATAGGGTTACTGAGGAGAAGACTGTTTCACACATAGTTTTTGTCCGCAGTGTTATGGTTACACTTCTAACCTAACAATAAATGGTATTCTTTCAAAGCTGGACCTGCATGGGAAGAAAGGAATCAACAGCCTACACAGAGAAACATGTGATCTTTAACACGAATACGCACGCAAAACACAAGTCACAGAGCAGAGAACGAATGTTAAGAAGTGTACAAACAGCCAGATTGTCTGCAGAAGTTTACAATCAGAGAATGCGAAAAAAAAAAAAAAAAAAGGAAAGAAAGAAGATTAATTTACGAATTGATAACAAAATGTGTCCCTGAAGCCTACAGGAACATATAACGTTTTATAAAATTAGTTGAATATCCTCTACAGAACGTTGCTGAAACAATCCCAACATTTTTTGGCTGTTGTTGTTTTGTTTTTTTGCAGGCAAATTTTACGTTCAGTAGTTTTTTGCTCTGTCAGCTTTCGGTACCATTATCGGAAACAAAGCAAGACAAATCGTCCGCAGCTGGGATCGAACCCGGCATGCCAGCATTACAAAGCGCTTTTTCAACACCTAAGCCACAAACGCTAATAACGTTTTCCTGCTCGTGAAAAAAAAAAAAAAAAAAGTACATCTTGCACTAGTAACCATTTAATTTGATTTGTTTCTTGTAGACTAGCAATACATACATTGAGAGCTTGTTTGTCTTCTCTCTCAGCTGTAAGTGAAAACCGTGGGTGCTAATCGAATACTATTACCTTGATGAACTGTAGTCTCGTAGCGTGCACAGGCTTAGTACATAGATGTTTCATCACAGAAGAAGCCATCTTTGGTCGATTCTCCTTTCATTATTGAGACACGTCTTTTGCATAATTTGTCCCCTGTGGAGGCTAAGAGGTTTAGTGCCAGCATACATTGAGAACCTGACGCGTTTTCACCTCTGCAACTCGAACACAGAGAAAAGAAGATTGGCTAGCAAACAGCATCTTGTATCGGAAACTGAAATATTTTGGCTATTCAAGCGGGTTGCGCCTTCCCCGGTTCACACCAGTAAATAGTGGTCGAGTTCATCACATATCAGTTTCATGTTTGTACCAGGGCACGGAGATGTACAAGGACATAAGCAAGCTGATCGGCTTGCAGGTAAAGCTACTGTGGAGGGTAGACGAGCAATGGATCATGCTGATATTCTAAATGCTCCATGAGAAGTAAGACGTTAGAGAAAACCAAGTGATGATTGTGAATCTGCATCCATGACCAGACTGCAAGAACAAGATGTTGAGAGGGATGTGGACAGACAAGAATGCTATGCAGGAAGGCAAAGTAGAATAAGAATTCAACACAGAACTGGTGTAGGAGCCGCTACACGCTAGAGGATTAAGTAAGGAGGGAATCAGAGCACTTAGGGACTGAATGGTTCGACGTGCAATGAAGATAATCTGTCGACTAACAAACTACCTAACTAAAAAGCGACAGGGCTACCAGAATAAGAATGGACATAGCAAATAAGTGACATCTCGGGTAGGAAAGTGCAGGAGTTCGAAGAGCAGGAGAGAGACTGAGTTTCTTTCGGGCAGACCGTAGCGAGAGCAACGTTCTACCAAGTTCCTGCTACATGATGATAATCTCATGTACTACACTAGACACGAATCGTGTACAAAGGCACTTACGGACTTTATCTACGTTTGTTCTAACATTGCCCCCCCCCCCCCCCCTTTTCCACCTTTTTCTGTTTAGCATAAGAAACTCTTTGATCTGTCTAGAAAAAATGTTTCCCAATTTGGACGTTTCAGTGAGTAGTAGCGGCCTCGATCACATTAGGGGGAAGGGAAAAGGGTGGGAGGGGGGGGGGGTAGGACGCTGCATTGGGGCGGTAGCATACTCAGTTTTAGCTGAGAAGCTATGAAACTAAGAAGTAGAAAGAAAAAAGAAAGAAAGAAAGAAAGAAAGAAAGAAAGAAAGAAAGAAAGAAAGAAAGAAAGAAAGAAAGAAAGAAAGAAAGAAAGAAAGAAAGAAAGAAAGAAAGAAAGAAAGAAAGAAAGAAAGAAAGAAAGAAAGAAAGAAAGAAAGAAAAAGAAAGAAAGAAAGAAAGAAAGAAAGAAAGAAAAAAGAAAGAAAGAAAGAAAGAAAGAAAGAAAGAAAGAAAGAAAGAAAGAAAGAAAGAAAGAAAGAAAGAAAGAAAGAAAGAAAGAAAGAAAGAAAGAAAGAAAGAAAGAAAGAAAGAAAGAAAGAAAGAAAGAAAGAAAGAAAGAAAAAAAGAAAGAAACCATTTTGATAAACTGTATCTTTTTCAGTAAAATCACATTGATTGCTTAGTTTTTTTAACAAAACAAGTAAATTAGGTTTTAAAGAACTAGAGGCATCATTCTCGTTGAAGAATATGTTGTTCTTTAGTTTTGTCAGTGTATGACTCTTTTTTGTTTCATTACAGAAATTATATTTCAAGGCAGGAAATAGACTTGACAACTTTGTGACAACTAGCAAGACTTACAGAAAGTGGGCAGAGAGAGGTAGAAACATGCAACGTAAGAAACGGATGATGTAATCATTCAAATTGACAAGACAAGTAATAACATAATAATTGCCTCAGACTACACGATCCTGACATCGCTGCCTGCAATTATCACTTTCGCGGTCTAGGCAAAAGGAGGGCGGAGATTGAGATTGGGGGGGGGGGGGGAGGGGGGTGGCGCGTCTTTTAGCCTAGTGTCGCCACGGACTGTGCAGAGTAAAATTTTATTTAACTGTGAGACATGCTTTATGTATACTGCTTATTTCTTCTTCTTCTTCTTCTTCTTCTTCTTCTTCTTCTTCTTCTTCTTCTTCTTCTTCTTCTTCTTCTTCTTCTTCTTCTTCTTCTTCTTCTTCTTCTTCTTCTTCTTCTTCTTCTTCTTCTTCTTCTTCTTCTTCTTCTTCTTCTTCTTCTTCTTCTTCTTCTTCTTCTTCTTCTTCTTCTCCTTCCTTCTTCTTCTTCTTCTTCTTCTTCTTCTTCTTCTTCTTCTTCTTCTTCTTCTTCTTCTTCTTCTTCTTCTTCTTCTTCTTCTTCTTCTTCTTCTTCTTCTTCTTTTTCTTCTTTTTCTTCTTCTTCTTCTTCTTCTTCTTCTTCTTCTTCTTCTTCTTCTTCTTCTTCTTCTTCTTCTTCTTCTTCTTCTTCTTCTTCTTCTTCTTCTTCTTCTTTTTCTTCTTCTTCTGTTTGATTTCGTATGCTCAGGTCAGATCCCCAACTGATTTGCCTCTATGAATTCCATTGATGACAAAAGATGTCACACATGAGTAGGTGTGTGTCGAACCGTTTAAAAAACGCTATCAAATATTCCAAACTCCGACAACCGTGATAATTCTCCTCTAAGCGTTGTTGTGATTTTCATGTGTTCTTTGCGTGCGCTAATGAGCTCGGCTGAGTTCAAATATGGACATTGCTTCTTGCCGTTTATGTCCCGAGAGACAACAAAAGCCCTTAATTAGAATTCTAGCATGTAAACACTTTTGTTGGTTGGGCAAAAAAAAAAAGAGATATTTCTTGTCTCGCTGTTTAAGCTTGTGCAAAGTGGGCTGACGGGGTTTAGGGTGGGTCACACACGCACACACGCACGCACACACGCACGCACACACATACACACACAAAGAGGGGGAGAGATAGGCGAGAAAGTGAAAAACAGAGAAGAGAAGGATAAAGACGCAACGAGATTTAAGTTGAAAATGTTGAGAATCGGACTCAGTTATCTATTTAACAGTATGTTCTGGGAGAGAATGAGAGAGAGTGAGAGTGAGAGAGGAGGGGTGGGGGATAAAGATCAAGGGAGAGAAAGTTAGGTAATGAGAGAAAAGTTCTTTAAAAAAAGGTAAAGTAAAGATAAAAGGAAAGGTCGACAAAACTCTATGGTTCAAATGATCGGAAATTGGCACGCAGCCTCATTAGGCTTTGTGTCCCTAAAGAAAGAAAAGGAAAGAAAGAAAGAAAGAAAGAAAGAAAGAAAGAAAGAAAGAAAGAAAGAAAAGAAAGAAGAAAGAAAGAAAGAAAGAAAGAAAGAAAGAAAGAAAGAAAGAAAGAAAGAAAGAAGAAAGAAAGAAAGAAAGAAAGAAAAAGAAAGAAAGAAAGAAAGAAAGAAAGAAAGAAAGAAAGAAAGAAAGAAAGAAAGAAAGAAAGAAAGAAAGAAAGAAAGAAAGAAAGAAAGAAAGAAAGAAAGAAAGAAAGAAAGAAAGAAAGAAAGAAAGAAAGAAAGAAAGAAAGAAAGAAAGAAAGAAAGAAAGAAAGAAAGAAAGAAAGAAAGAAAGAAAGAAAGAAAGAAAGAAAGAAAGAAAGAAAGAAAGAAAGAAAGAAAGAAAAAAGAATGAGTATAAAGAACAGAGACCCAATTAACGTTAAATTCAGATCGGTAATAACTGGGCACGGGCCATCTAGGAGAAAGAATGAAATTGAGAGATGTTGAGAACCACAACAGAAGAGGAGGTGGGGCTGAGGTTGGTGCTGGGGTTGGGGCTGAGGTTGGTGCTGGGTTGGGGCTGGGTTGGGGCTGGGGTTGGGGCTGAGGTTGGGGCTGGGGTTGGGGCTGGGGTTGGGGCTGAGGTTGGTGCTGGGGTTGGTGCTGAGGTTGGTGCTGGGGTTGGGGCTGAGGTTGGTGCTGGGGTTGGGGCTGAGGTTGGTCCTGGGGTTGGGGCTGAGGTTGGTCCTGGGGTTGGGGCTGCGGTTGGTGCTGGGGTTGGGGCTGCGGTTGGTGCTGGGGTTGGGGCTGAGGTTGGTGCTGGGGTTGGGGCTGAGGTTGGTGCTGGGGTTGGGGCTGAGGTTGGTGCTGGGGTTGGGGCTGAGGTTGGTGCTGGGGTTGGGGCTGAGGTTGGTGCTGGGGTTGGGGCTGAGGTTGGTGCTGGGGTTGGGGCTGAGGTTGGTGCTGGGCTTGGGGCTGAGGTTGGTGCTGGGGTTGGGGCTGGGGAGGGGCGAGACATCGAATAAATAATATTTTTCATTTGTCAATAATTATGCACATAGACTTGTATAGTGTCGTGCTTTAAGAAAACGAGAGAGGCAGACGCACAGACAAACAGACAGACAGGCAGGCAGACAGAGAGGAGTCAACGAGAGAGGGGTCTTTAAGTTTTTATTGTTCAACACTAAGTTTTAAGAGAGTGGGAGAGAGAGTGCGTGAAAGAGTGTGTGTGTGTGTGTGAGAGAGAGATAGAGAGAGAGAGAGAGAGAGAGAGAGAGAGAGAGAGAGAGAAGATTAAGTAATAGGAAGATGGAGATAAAGACTATAATAATTACCGAATTATTTCTGCTGTGCCAGAAGCCAGAGACCGACCTCCTTTGTATAAAATCTTAATTATGGGCCTCAAGATTTCAACAGGAACAAAGGGGGCTTACGATGTTCAAAGAAATATTAATTTTCTGGGAATCATTGAGGCTGCTGAATCAACATACTAACCTCATCCTCCTCCTACTTCTACTACGACTACCATAACCACCATTACTACTACTTATACTACAACTACTACTACTACTGCTGCTGCTGTTGCTGCTGCTACTATCACTACTACTAATACTGCTGCTGCTACTGATACTACTACTGCTACTGCTAATACTACTGCTTTTAATACTGCTAATACTTATAGCACTATTACTACTACTACTACTTTTACAGTATAATCTTGCTGCTTCTACTGCTACTACTACTATTACTACTACTACTACTACTACTACTACTACTACTACTACTACTACTACTACTACTACTACTACTACTACTACTACTACTACTACTACTGCTGCTGCTGCTGCTGCTGCTGCTGCTGCTGCTGCTGCTGCTAATACTACTACTAATTAAATAACTCGTCACCCTAATAGCAAATTATGCATTTGGTGGTTAGGTTTATGTATTTTTTTTAATTTGTAAAGTCGTTTGTAATGCTGTGATACGTTGTTCGATTTCAGCTACACCTTGCGTTGGTTTCTACAATGTTATCGAGGCAAAGGTCAGTACAAATAGCAAACTGCCGAAAATTGTCGATTACTACTTTGACGTGTGAGGTCGTGGAATATATCGCACGCTTACTAAGTATCTAGGGGTTCCGTTTATAAAACTCAGTCGCCCGGCTCGCTAGCAAAGTTGGCTAAACCCTACTTCCCCACGACCTGATGAGGAACTCCTTGTTATCCGGAGGTAGGCACCCACAAAAAACGTCAGTCCTCTACACATACACACATGGATCCCTCAGCCAACCATGCTTAACCACTATCATTGACAGGGCACAAGCTGATGGTGATTATAAAGTGTTGAGGAGGGCCAAATCGAAAGCGGCACCACAATACACCAGGCACACCTGACAGGCTAACAACCACAATCTATCCGGCACACGTTACGTGTCCTTTCGTTACCACCAAACTGGTCTAAGATCGTTGTAATGCACTACACTACGCCAAGTATAATCTTACAATGTGATCTCTTTATTATGAACAAACACATTGCGATGAAGATGAACTGGTGACGAAAGACTCACTGTGAAGTATTAAACTTCCTGCCGAATACACTCACATCGACAGTCTCCAGAACATGAACAAAACACCCTGCGAACTATATGCACGGTGAATGCTACTGACGACTCTCGCCAGACCGCGCAAATATACACACGTGTTGTGCAGTGACCGTCCTCTGACGGTTCTTCCTCCAAAAGACCCCGCCATCCAAGGGTCAAAATTTGATGCACCATTTAATAAAACTAATCCAGACCTGCCGTCTGCTACACAGTCCGTCACTGAAGTATCCCTGATTAACCTCTAGTGAACCATAACAATCCATATCAACTAAGGGACTCCAATCTTCCGCTGAGCAGCTTCCCGATACCTATATATCACACCTCCACACCGGCCAATACACACAAAGATACCCAAGGACCTTCTGTAGCCCTTTCGGACACCCAGTAAACCAGCGTACCACATAACCGCAACTGTGCCCATCCACACAAACCTGGGTGACACAAGTACATAAACTCTGACAGTATTCCAAAGTTCAACTGATCATCCACCATATTCACAACACAGATTACAAGCTCCCACAGAATAAAAATTCTGGTACATCTCACTTTTCGGGTTAAGAAAGAGAGTGACTTTCCTCCCCATTCATAAATCCCTGTGTCGCACGGCTTGTGCTATGTTGTGGAAAAGGGGGAGGGGGGGCTGCTTGGAGTCACCCGTAAATAACGAACAAGGTCTCTTTCACATGTTTAAGTGGCTCAAATATTTAAATTCACAACCCGTCAACACATCATGAATGCCCGTGTGTACCCACGCTTCACAAATACCTCACTTCATTAACACTTTACACACCACGGTAACGTTCGCATACAACATACCCGTATTTACCACTTTTGAGTTGTAGGCCTTGGGGGTCTTTGAATGAGGATTTAAGGTAGCCACTGCTGATGCTGTCTTCGTGGAGAGTGCAGCTTACCATTTTCTTATTGCCCCAGACAGAATAAAATCCATTACTTTACTAAGGATTGGATAGTAGGGCTTCTTCAGAAGATATGCTGGGTGTTGGTTCTGCAACCACCTGCAATGAATACCAAAAAAAAAATTTTTGCTTGATTTTTTTTCTTGGTTTAGAACACTGGCACTATAAATAATTTATTCACACTACATAATTATCTTTAATTTCCAGAAAATTTACTAATACTAATTTTCGACTAAGTCAATCCGGATGTCCCGCACATATTCTCTAATTGTGGATTTGAATCTATGTCTCCCGCAGGAGACATGCTGAGATTGATTCTGCAACATCCTGCAGATTGTGATTGTATCGACCACTGGCTATCCATGACTGATGTTGTCAACACGAGACAGTTACTTTTACTGTCCAGGATATTTACTAATGCTAAATTTCAGCTACGTCAACCATATGGCCTTATGATTTTATTTAAAAAAAAAAAAAATCTTTTTAACGACGATTCGAACTAATGCCCTTCGGGTTAGCAGTTAAACGTCTAGCCACTGAATTACCAAACTATACATATCCTTTAAAAACTGAAAGCAAAATTCTACCAGACAAACAAACAAAAGCACACTTAATGTAAGCTTAATATCCCCCCCCCCTTTTTTTTTTCTGCTGCCCCCTCCCCCCCCCCCCCCCCAAATGTGTAAAGGACCCTTTACTCCATTAGCTAATTAGTGACATGGTGTCAGATGCATTCTCCATAGACGAACTGACACTCCATTCACACAGTCGTCTTCATTCCTCAGAACATTGTTTAGGAACCATTTTAGCTGGTGTACCGCGGCGCCGTAGTGGCTTGCCAGTCACCTGCCTATGAAAAGGCCCAGGTTTCTAATCTGCGTTGACGGGGATTGTTTTAAGCATTGGCAATGGCTCCTATATTGATCCAGCCCTAAAATTGTTACCAGGTAATGTCCAGGGTGCAGTGTACATTCTTTAGTCATGTCATGAAACGGAAAAATTGGAGTACATTCTGACGGTGGGGAACCTGGAGTCACAAATAGGCAAAGGGAGATCAAGGGAGAGGGTGCTAGATAGCCTCACTTCATGGCATGAAAGATCATCTGTGTCAGTGCTGATTGAAAGTACACGACACGTGAGGTTGTGGATAATACGACAGCCATCGCCACACGAACTTATGAACTTAAAATGTCCTGGTAAGTCAAGAAACGGACGTGCAACGAACGAGTGCCGAATGGTCCAGAAAATATGTAGGTGTAGCATTTGGTTTGTCTTCTAAAAGAGTCAGTTTAAGGCGGGGCCCGTCAGTCACTTACTAGCTGTGAGGGGGAGGGAGGGGAGGGTGGAGAGGGGGGGGGGGAGGTGTTCGTGCATAGGAGCGCTATGCTAATTGACTGTAGTGGTATCCTCGGTGTATGCACCTTTATCAGTTTCTGCCCTTTGTACGTATACCAAACAGTATGTTTCCCAAACAGTACGTTTTCCAAACAGTAAGTTTACAAACAGTACGCAAACCAAACAATACGTTTACTAAACAGTACATACACCAAACAGCAGGTTTATCAAACAGTACGCTTACCAAATGATCGTTTCCCTAAGAAGCAAAGGGAAAGTAAATAATACATTCCAATAAGATGAAAAAAGCGAATATTTTTCGGCAAATTATACATCAGAGGGATTGTTTAAAAAAAAACACTCATTACTGTCTGATACTTGAAAAAAAAATAAACACTAAAGCAATTACATGAAATTAATTAAAACTAAACCTCACCTAACCTTCTTGTGAAGAGTCGAGTGCCTACTGGGATTGTACTGATGAGGGAGAAAGAGATGTTTTTTTCTGGAAGAAGAATTCCTTTATAATATAGCTTCTGGAATCTGCCATTCTTGTTCTCCCTCTCTCCATCTCTCTCTCTCTCTCTCTCTCTCTCTCTCTCTCTCTCTCTCTCTCTCTCTCTCTCTCTCTCTCTGTATTTACCCCGCTGCTCTTTTTCCACATACACACATACGCATAAAACAAACGCTAAAGCACTCGCATGTGCATACACATACATAAAAACATTCGAACGCATTCGAATACATATAATATAGATCTTGAAATAGAACTGTTTTAGGCAGCTAATAGATACCGAACGAATAAGATACTGAACAATAGTGACAAAGTAATTTTAGAATTAGCACCACACATAAACAAGAAATTACGAAATTTTTCAACTTGTGCAAAACCTGGGCAGACAGGTGTGACGTAAGCACTGGCTGAAACATATATCCCATTCCTCCTTTTCCTTGTTCATTTCAGTCCGATCCTAAAAAAGATTATACATATTTCAAAGGCTTAACTCTGTTTGAAAATCTGGACAGAGCTATTAATGGTTTGCTGGTAAGCATTTTCTTCGACCAAATAACAAGACAGGGCCATTTGCAAAGAGTCTCCTAGATAAGGTGATTTTTCAAGATAACAACGGATT